GACAGTGTGAAGTGGGTGACAACAGGTCACCTGAGGGTACGACAGTCACGGATATTGAGTATCTTCCAAGGTGTACGCATTTTCGCGTCCGATATCCTGGACAAGGGGATGTCAGTCTCGGTACGTGAGGTGGTCAGTACTGGGTCTAGTCGTTTACATCCCAACTACATATGCGCTGCTCGGAAGTCTGCTAGTCTATGCATACATGTAAAAAAGTGCAACACCAGTATCAAAGTTGGATTAACTTGTTTACATGTACTATTTTCATAGGTGTTGTTCTATCAGTCAGTGACTACAATTAAATCTATCATTAATATACGTTGCTTCTTTTCAGGGAATAGACAGTAGTGCAGTTTTGACTACGGTCTGGACTGGGTTTGGTAACTCAACCTTTCTACCTGTTTTTTCCCGGGATTTAAAGATGTAGACGCTCTGGCTACGGTGACGACGCTCCTCAATTCTTATTAATACTGAGGTATCAACCATCGAAATTGTCTCTCCCACCTCGCTGATTTCATNGTGCCAGACATGTTGGCTGTGAGCCAGCCGCGAGCATGGTCGCGCGCCGTGCTTGTCGCCGCATTTTGATTACGTCATCACAACAACACGTTAGCTTACCAACGTAACCCTGTTCCCTGACATTCGGTGATATTTTTTCGGTGCTAAAACCCTTTCGGCCGAAAGCCGAAAGAGCCTTTTTAACCATTTTCGGCCGATAATTTTCGGTGGCCGAATATTCGGTGCAACCCTAATAATTATGGCTGCATCTTGCTTTATATTTTCTTAGGTTGGTAGGAGCTCGGCTTCCTTAATAAATCCACTTTAGCCTTTATGTTTCTTTCTTTCATTCTCCATGTTATTTGCTCTCTACTTATCTAGCACTCCTGCGCTACAGTACCCCTCTATCTCTGGAGCTCACTCTCCAGACTGATTGTTTTCTAATTGGTGGAGTGCCAGAGGTCGTGGTTGTTATGGTAACCTGCAAGGGGCACTTGGTCGGGTTAGGTAGTGGTGGTAGTGGTAGTGGTTGGGCGAGAGTGGGAGGGGGCACCCACTCAAGAAAAACGGAGGGCAGCACTCATCCAAGGCTTGGGTGGCCACTTCAGAAAATGGACTCAGTGTGTGTCTGCGCGAGTGTGTGTATGTTTGTGTGTTTGACATCCTAACTACCTCAGTTTTGTACATGCACCTAAGAGAGTGAATAAGACAAGACATGGAGCAAGTAGGAAAGATGGTGTGCATGTGGGTATATATGTGCGTGAGAGCAGAGGGTGGGCAAAGATTTCTAGCCTTCACTTGACAATCTTCTAAAGAGCTCATCTGCATGCGTCCTTTTTTCTCCAAGCCTGGTTCCCACTGCTACTTCCTTCCCTATGTGAGCCCCTTAGGCCCTCCAATCTGTCCATCTGTGCACAGGGATAGAGGAGAAGCTGAGGAGATGAACGAGGATGGACAACCGGAGAACGACTGTTTGTCTACACTAAGCTAGCTACATTTGAAAAGGCATCTTGTTTTCCTTCTGATTAGCACTCTATCCAGACCCACCTTTTGACCTCGGAGAGACTTTTGAAAACAGTCTTTAGAATTCGGTAAATGTGAAGACGATGACATAAGCCTGGACTGGGGCTGCATGGAAATAAGTATAGGAAGACCATTTTCTGTCGGTTTTTATTCCAATCTGTGATCATTTATAAAAAAAAAATCATACAGCGAATCAAATATTTAAGGTGCTGTCATTCAGCGGCATCTATTTGCATTTTGCTAGATGACTTTCATTGATATCCCATGAAAACAGCACCCCATTGTTTCACATAAAGTTTTTAAAAATAGACACCGGATAGTGGAGTTTGCCTCGTCAAGGATGATGAGGTATGACATGAGCGAAAAGCATTTAGAAAACATTTAATAGACTAGATTATATTTTGGCCAGTGTGAGACACACTTTCACGCCTTCATGTATGCATACTGTAATCTTTACCAAATGTGTGATGTATGTCTGTGTGTCTGTGTGTATGTGGGTGTGTAATGGGTTTACTAAATGAGTCTGAATTAAACTCTTCCATGCATAAGGAATTGAGCTGGCGTTGCCCTTTAGAATTAAAGATGGTGGGCTGTATGAGAAGCAGACAGTGTGATATATTACAGTGCTGCATGGTTTAATAACTGCCCTTCCATAATGATGCTGTTTAAAGTAAGGCACTGATAACAAACATACATCTCTAACACACACACACACACACACACACACACACACACACACACACACACACACACACACACACACACACACACACACACACACACACACACACACACACACACACAAGTAATTATGAAGTCTGCCAAATATTTGAGCTGATCTTTACTTTTGAATAAAAACCTACTTAAAGTTATTAGTTCCACGGACTCTTCAAACTTGTATTGGCTTTGGCTGGATGGTTGGTTTAGTTTTAATATCCATGACATGCTTCCTAACCGAGAGCAATCCATCTATATATTTTATTTTGTCTGCATTCACACACACATGCACACAACTTTGTAAATGTTTGGCTCCATGTTTTTGTTGCAGCATTACTCTTAATGTATATGAGTGTGCAAGAGTGTGTGTTGTCTTTGCCCAGCTGAGGTGCTGATGGAATGGAGTCCTTTGCGATTTTGTTTATCTCTGTTTCCCACATGCGGGGCTCTGGCCTGCCTTGACGTACAGGAACAGCAAGTCAAGCACACAAACGCACACACACACCTACACACACCGCTGACACAACTGCATTCTTTTTTTGGCATCATCGATTACTGTCAGCCAATACCTGGACTTGCTTCTGTCTGCATCATCAGGTTTCAGGAAGTGATGATAAATGAATAGCACTGCCAGCACTGCTGTGGCCATGGATAACGGTTTCTACAAAATCAAGACATTCTCCGACTCCTGTTACTTCTTACAACGACGGAACATTTAAGTTCATGCATATTGGTTGAATGTAACTAAGTAGCAACAAAAGCTACTAATTCATCTGCTGCAGTTAATTATGAGATTTCTGAATACAGTTATTGTTAGAAGTTAGTGTATGAAACTGAAACATTGGCATTACATATACAATAAACAAACATGTGATGCTTTAGTATTACATATATTAAACTGTCTTTGGTGATAGGCTTATTAGCTGTACATTGAAGCTCAAGCAAAGTTGTAACCCATTCTGTTTTTTGCATTTACACCATTTTGTTTTGAGGTTACTTCACTAAAAAGGTCTACCCTGCAACCCACGGTCAACTGCGTCTTGGCTTTCCATAATAACATAGTATTTATGCAGGGAGGAAACACAAAGACAAATACTGTGTAAGGAAACATCTCAATGAAGCCTTGGAAGTGTCCATCAAACAGGTTCACTTCCCCACATGAAGACAGGTACAGACATAAAGTGTGTTTGTATGTGTGTGTGTGTGTGTGTGTGTGTGTGTGTGTGTGTGCGTGCGTATGTGTGCGTGTGTGAAAATATCTGTACTGGTAGATATATTGAAGAGTAAGTGAGCTGTGACTGACATAATAAAGGTAAGGAGTAAGGATTGTGGAGCTGAGAGGAACACATTGAGCCCTGTGGTGATATTTATATTGGATGCACGCACGCACGCACGCACGCACGCACACACACAATGGGCAGTGGGCATGGGAGTACACAAGCTCTCACACTGAAGCTCAAAGCAAGCACAAACAATTCAATATTTCCCTTTTTGTCTGTCTGTCTCTTTCTCTCTCTTGTTCTCAAACACACACACAAACTGGCCTTTGGCAGATGAACTTGAATAAGACAGCTGATGGGAAAGGAGAGGGAGAGAAATATGGAGCATCAGCACGGTCATACTGTACTTTAAAAGTAAAGCGGGAGAGAAGAAGAGAGCAGGAAGAAACCTCAGAGCTTTCAGCCTAGGCCTAGCTCCAGGATGTGATACAAAAAGGCAAAACTCATAGTTTAGCAGATATTCAATATGTTCCTACATGCAGGACATGGATAAATCCTACCATTAGCACCTGTACTCTGTTCTGCATTGGCCACCACTCCCTCACTGTGAATGGGACACCAGTTGGTTGTTCCTCAACAAAAACACCACTGTTTGCTATACTGGCTTTAAAGTGGTGGAATGAGCTCCCTATTTATATATCAGGTCTCACATCTTCCCTTTCAGACTGAACATCAACATGTTTTAACCTCAAATTGGCCATCAAAAAAAAAATACAATACTTCTCTACGAGGCACTTAAAGGGGCCCTATTATGCTCATTTCCAGGTTAATGTGACATGTGTCCATGCTTTGATGTTCAAAAAGGTATTTATTTTTCTCATACTGCCTGTGCTGCAGCGCCTCTTTTCACCCTCTGTCTGAAACCAGAGTCTGCTCTGATTGGTTAGCTGCTCTGGTTGGCCAACTGCCTAAAGATGGTCTGACCCTTATATCACATACAATGTGTTGGAGCGCTAGCAATTACAAGTGCATGTGGTACATAGTGATGTCACTATGTTACAGAAGAAAAAAAAGGAGTCTAATGGAGGCGTTTCAGGAAGGGGGGAGTGTGTGGAAGAGAAACTCCCTTTGGAGGGAACTTTGGGATTGTTGTCTTTGCAGAACATTTACATGCACATAAACCTTTATAACACACTACAGGAAAGAGAAAAACCCCCAAAAGCATAATAGGGCCCTTTTTTTAAACAAGGTCTGCCTTGTTAGAAGAAAATATATTTGCAGGAAATGTCTTTTCTGAATGTATATCCTATGGTTGATTGCACTTATTGCAAGTAGCTTTGGTTAAAAGCGTCAGCTAAATGCCATACAATGTAAAGTTATAATAATAGTTGTTCAGCAAATTGTACCAAACTTACCACTGTGGGTTGAACTGATGAACCAAACCATTACGATCATGTGCACAATCTACCCCCTTTAACTTGTTTTGTCAAACTCCTGAGAGACTGACACAAAGTGAGTTTGCCCTGAGAAGGTCATGGTGCCTTACCTGTCGTTGGCAGTAGCAGAGACAGGAGGAGATGTAGTTCCAGCTCCCCTCGGTTTATTGACTTTGGCGTACAGCCTATCGAGGGGGTCGTCGTCAGGGATGGCTCCAGGGTCGTTAACGTGATTTGCATGTCCTGGGAAGACAGGAGGGCCTTGGGGGGGAGGGTTGGCAGCATGGGCCTGCTGAATGGTACTGTAGGGAGGTGACTGAGATGGTGGCTGCGGCAACGGAGCCGTATCACGGTCCCTGAAGGTCTGTATTCGGGCGTAGTTGGGGTCTGCGTCATCATCTTCAAATTCTGGATAGGATGTCCCGCCAACTTGCTGGTCTCTGGGCCTCAACTCAGGATGCCCCGCCTCGATCCTGACAGAGGGAGGAAGAGTGACACGTCTAGAAATGTTCTTGATATGCAAACGGGAAGAGAAAATACTCTCTGAGTATTCCGGCAAATTTAAAGCACATACAAATAGTGATCATCAAAGCCCCCCACCTTTCTCTCTCGTCTTTCATCCTCTCGAACTCATGATCACTCAGGACATCTGACTTCTGTCGCTGTAGAGCTGCTTTTGCATCCTTCTTCTCATCTTTTTTCTTGCCAAATCTGGACAGAGACAAAAAGACACAATGAATGAAATCAGAGAGAAACATCATGATATAATAATTTAATATGGGAAGTTTAACAGCCTTAACATGATGTGGTTCTGTTGAAGCAGATGAGGAACAAACATTGACACACATGGCTGGTATTACAAAATGTCCTCTCCATTAAAGGCAGCTCATTGTGGAATAGCCTCCCAACTGAGATACGGGATTGTCCCACTCTCAATAGTTTTAAAGGTCAACTCAAAGAATGGTTGAGAAACAAACATCCGTGCAATCACCGCTAAATGCACTTTAATACAGGGGTATCTCCTCTTGCACTTTTGCATCTCTTGTCTCTCCCCTTGCACTTTATATGATGTTGCTGCTATATTGTATTACGTAAGGCAGTGTTTCCCATACATTGATTTATTTGTGGCAGGCCGCAATTCAATACTTCTTATTTTGTGAAAAAAATTATTATTATTATTATTTTTTTTTTTGGTGGTGGTCTAGTAGTGGATAGTGAGGTGGGCTGATGATCGGAAGGTTGCAAGTTCAAATCCTGCCTGGAACACCACTACTAGTGTGCCCTTGAGTAAGGCACTTAGCCCTTGGTTACTCCAGGGAGAATGTCCCTGTAATTGGTCATTGTAAGTCGCTTTGGAATAAGGCGTCTGCTAAATGCCTAAATTGTAAATGATATTTTTGGGAGAATAAACCCCCATAGATCCTCAACTCCGGTGTGTTTCACTCATTAACAACGCAACACAGAGCAACAAGATCGTAGTCTACAGCAGCCATGAACTCAAATGTATTATCTTATTTGAGGGGGGGGTGGATGCATGGACCACCCGAATAGGTTAAGGGGCCTTTGGCTTTTCTTGCCAGGGGGGCGGGGGGGTGCGGTGCCCCCACAAATAGAATCAAATCCTGTGGGAAACACTGTAATTTATTATTTATGACGGCTCAGGTCCATTAAAGCATTACAACAACAACAAAATAACAGTTAGGTTAGTTATCATTGTTGATAACTAACCTAACTGTGTGCATGAGGGAAAGGGAAACTCCAAAAAGCATTACAGGGCTGCTTTTAATAAAGTATGAGGTTTAACGGTTCATTTGGCAACTTTCATTACACTTATTTTTGTTTCATATCTGCTCAAGCTGTCACTTTATCCTGACGGTAGTGCATGAGAAATAATCTGCCACCTCCCACCACGTTGTCAACCATTTTTCTGATCAGTCAAACTGGACAGCTCTGCTGAAATATGGTAAAAAAAGACATGGTCTGCCTCTCACCCCAAATGGTTTGAGAAACCTATTTTAGTGAACGGTTTAGCTGGTGAATTGGATCTTTTGGTTTTTGTCAGCCTGAAGGGAGGTACTTGATTTTCAAATGTTGTTGAACACATTTAGTCATCTGTATGTCATAACTTTTTTATTTTTCAGCCCCAAAGACTTTGTGTCTCCAGCCCGTATGGACGAGCTTTCTGAGAGAGTCTCCATCTTAATGATGCAGCTGGAGATGGAGGCCCAACAGAAAAAAGATGCCCTCGGCAAATTACAGTCAACAGAACAGAGGGCAGCGCAGCTGGAGCTGGAGCTGCAGATGGAGGCCGAACAGAAAGTAAAGGCCCTCGAACAGGTGGAGATTTTGGGCAGCAGATTGGCAGACATTGGGAGTCAGAATGAGGACCAGAGCAACACTCAGGTATGCTGTGTTTAGATATACCTCCTCTCTGGCCTAGCAGAGAAATCCATTATTACACATGAGAGAATCGCCATAGCTAGCCATCATACTCATGGCTTGGTTGTTTTAGCTCCTTTTTTTATTGAAGGACATGTACAATCATAGAGGTTCACAATTGTGACAATGATCTTCTTTCCATTTTAATTTTCTACCACTTGGTAAAAAGCATTACAAGCCCCCACCCATCCCCTCCCACCTCTAAAGCCCATGGAGATATAGGTTTAATCAAAGAAGCACATTGATTCCATGTTATCAAAGAACATATAAAATGTAAATAAATACATACTGTATACGTTAGTACAAAGATGAATACGTGGGTTGATTCAAAAGGAAAAGTAAAGTATAGGAAAATAAATAGCATTAGGTCATTTACGCAGCGTTTCCGCCAGGGGGCGTCTTGCTGTCATTTGATGCCCTTATTCAGATCGGTACGCCCTGAACGCGAGCCGAGGGCATCCAAAAATATTAATAATTCGAGAGAAGATCGAGAGTTTTTATCGCTTGAAATGACGAAAAGGAAAAAGGACAAGGACATCCCTCTGTTGGAGGGGCAAAGGAGTCTGGTGGGATTCTTTTCGGAGTATTGAGGATCGTTTCCCCGACATCGGCGGTGCCTGCTACAGGACAACACGGAACGTGCGCGATTTGGACGCGATGAGCGATGCTAGTGGAGCACGCGTGTGAGCTGCGAGCACCAGAGCTTCGCAGCGGCGAAACTGAGGCTCAGTGGTAAACTGGTAACATGAAGAAACGTTTGGGAGCCGAAACGGCCGGCACTTGATCCGGCTCACTAACGTAAAAAGACAGTATCTATAAGGGACGGCTCAATTCAAAATTCGCCCCGCTCTCGGGGTGGACGCACTCTCAGCCCTGGTTCTGGCGGAAACACTGGTTGGGAGTCTATGGATGTTGTTGAAATAGTCTATAAAGCACTGCCATTTCTTATAGAAATGGTCTACTGAGATCCTGAGACTACATTTGATCTTGTCCAGTTTGAGAAAGAACAACAGCTTTTTGGAGCCAAATGGAGGACGATGCGGTGCTTATTGGAGTTTTTAGCCGCCTTTAAAACTAATCTTCAAACCTTGTTTTCCAGATGAAAAAAGAGTTTGCCGAGACGATCCATCTGTGTGAAAGCCTGTCTACAGAGAGGGTAAGGCTTGATGGAGCTCCTCCGCTGTGACATAACTCATTCTACAGCGCAGCTTATTTTGCATCTGAAGGTCCTGATTTGAAGTTTACTTAACTTTTTTTTAAGACCCAAACAAACCATTTTATATATTCATGTTGCACGAAGCACAGCGAAAAATGTTTTATACCCTTTCTCCACACAGATAATTTGTTAAGCATGATACTAGCAGTTAAAAACAAACATTAGGGCAATGTGTTTCACTTGGATATGCTTACTGCTGCTTTAATGTATTAAATTGTACGCTTACAGGACAAGGAGCTTCGTGAAAGAAACTATCTGACGAATGAACTGGGGATGTTCTTGGAGCAAACAAAAATACTGGAGAAGGAGAGAGCGGCTCTCTCTCAGGAACTGGAGGAGAAGAGAGAGGTGGATGAGTTCAAGGCTCTAGAGGACGAGTGCAGGAAAGACCAAGAGGTAATTCATTTGATTCCATTCAGACTCCACAGATACCCTTTTCCTTCCAAACCACTACCAGTTTAGGCTCAAAGCTTGTGCTTTTCTGGTTCCAAAGCAGTTCTTATTTTTTTCTCATTTGTGTTTCCACGGCCCAGAGCCCGACTGGTGCTGTGTCTTGAAATCACCGTTTATGTTGCTGATTTTCTCCCCAACGCTGCTCACAAAAACTGCGTTGGGTCGATGTTCTATTAATCAGGGTTTGTGCGGGTGCTGGAAATCCTTGAAAATGCTTGAAATGTAATGTGGTGTTTTGAAGGTTTGAAAAGTGCTTGGATTTTGGGAATGGTGCTTGGATTTGGGACAAAGTGCTTGAAATTGTAAATGCTTTACTTGTACAATAAATTGCTGTCTGAATGAATAGTTCGCATTTTTTTCGCTTTTTCGTGATTTATTTGGTTCTTGACGGGCAGTCCAGTGGGGCCAGATAAGAACTGGATTTCGGGCCAAAGAGCTGGTCCTGCTGCGGTGGAAACGGGAAGAACCGGTGCTTAATCGGACACTAGCCCCGAACTAGCCTTGGAACTGCTTTGATGGGAAAGTGGCATTAAACCCCTTCCCATCAAGCCGGTTGTAGTTCTAGCTCCGTGCTACGGCTCTTTTGTTTCGGAAGTGGCTCGTCTTTTTTGCCGCAGTTGTGTCACCACTGGCCAGAGCCCGATTGGTGCTACGTCATGACTAGACCATTTATTTTGCTGATTTTCTCTGCAGCGCCACTCACAACAACAACAACAACAATGAGGGACTGCGTTGGGTCGAGGATCATGCTGTTTTTAATCGTACTGATACAGATTAAATTAATGTACGACTTATCCAACATTAAACTCTTCTCGAGTCCATGGGTTCATTGTTTACCAATGTGGTTCAAAGGCATTTACCGACCGCTGCAGTGATACGCTGCTCATCCACCAGAGTTTAGTCTACTGTTTACTTAAAGAGCAACTTGCAGGTTGGACACCCCAGTGAATACATGTGTAGGAAAATGATGAACACACTAGATTTTCAAAAAAAGATACGGAAATATACACTACAGTGACATCTGGCGTCGTTTTTGTAAGACATTTTTACTTCCGCATACAAAAAGCCTCCCCATGTGACCTCCCGCTTGTGACGTAACATGGGGGAGAGCTGCCGGTCTAATGTATGAATAAACATGGATCACAATGCTAGTTTCAACACAGAAGAGGTTGAAAATATATATTCGAATGCATATGATTATAATTATGAGCCTGCTAGGCGTCCAAGAGACCAGGAGCAGCCAAGGATTAGAAGAATTAACGGCCATCGGCGAGAAATGGAGCTGTGTTGTGAGGAAAACCAGTGGAGAACAGGGCAGCTGTCTTGCTGAGTGACCGGCGTTAGCTACAGACAGTTAATGTTAGCTAACGTCAGTCACATCACAACATTGTAAAGTTAGCTACCATATATCAGGCTATAACTAAAGTAGTATTGATAATATAGTAAGGTTACTGGCAGGACTGTTGATACTGATCCATAACAGAAACTAATGCGTTTGTCTCAACGTACAAACAGATCATTGTGTTTTCATTTTTATATAAATTGTTTTAAACGTTGTTGATCACTTCCGAACCGATTATCGAATATACTCTTTGTTATAATATAAAGGTTTATTTTGTTTTTTTCAGATGTGAAACCCGTACAACGAAT